TATCTATCCGCATGTTTTTCAAAATCTGTAGCACATCCTCCTTCCTAACATCAACTTGTTCAAGCATATCTGCCTGTTTCATGCTGTCCTCACAAATGTCAAGGTCCCTCTCACTGGAATACTGAAACAAAGTATTCATTAAGGACCTCCCCAGCCTCCTCTGACTCTGTGTACAAGTTCCCTCCACTATCCCTGATTGGCTCTACCCTCACTCTGGCCATCCTCTCGTTCTTCACATAAGCATAGAATGCCTTGAGGTTTTCCTTGATCCTACCGGCCAAGGCTTTTTCATACTCCCTTCTAGCTCTTCCCAGTCCATTCTTCAGCTCCTTCCTGGCTACCTTGTAGACCTCCAGAGCTCTGTCCAATCCTTGCTTCCTCAACCTTAAGTAAGCTTCCTTCTACCTCTTGACTAGATGTTCCACATGTCTTGTCATCCAAGGTTCCTTCACCTTACCATCCCTTCCTTGCCTCAGTGGGACAAAGCTATCCGGCACTCGTAGCAAGTGCTCCCTAAACAACCTCCATGTTTCTGTCGTGCATTTCCCTGAGAACATCTGATCCCAATTTATTAGGCAAGAACTGCGGAGCATAGCTTTGTAATTCCCCCTCCCCCAACTAAATATGTTCCCGTAACGTCTGCTCCTATCCCTCTCCATGACTATAGTAAATGTCAGGGAGTTGTGATCACTATCACCAAAGTGCTCTCCCACTGAGAGATCTGACACCTGGCCTGGTTTGTTGCCAAGCACCAAATCCAATGTGGCCTCCCCTCTAGTCAGCCTATCTACACATTGAGTCAGAAATCCTTCCTGGACACACGTGACAAAATCTGTTCCATCCAAACTGTTTGCACTTAGGAGGTTCCAGTCTATTTTAGGGAAGTTGAAGTCACCCATGACAACAACCCTATTACTTCTGCACCTTTCCACAGTCTGTCTCCCAGTTTGTTCCTCAGTGTCTCTGTGGTCTATAGAAAACTCCCAATAAAGTGACTGATCCTTTCCTGTTTCTGACTTCCACCCATACTGACTCAGTAGATAAACCCTCCTCCACGACCTCCCTTTGTAGCTGTGTTGTAGCTTTCTACAGTCTTTGTCCATTTAAATTACAATCAGCTCCTCAATTCCTACCTCATATGCACCCAGGACAGCCTTTTTTCAAAATATAACAGTGCCATGATCCTCTGAAGCTTCCTCAGACGGTGGGGCATAATTTCAAGTGCTATACTTGTCATGTTGCTCTGAACGGGCAACATCCAGTTTTCTTTTAGGTAATTAATTTGTTTTGCTCTTTTCTCAAATGATATAAAGACTATCCCCACATGGCTTTTTGTCAATTTTGGTAGGGCCTAAACAAGCTTAACATTTTCCTTCTGGACTTTAGATTGATTAATTTAGCCATTGGAGTCTTGGTTGACATTTGTTGTCTCTTTTTAACAGCATCATTTTAAATTGGTATTCCCTGTTTGTCTTCTGAAATGCTCTTTCGTTCTCATCTTTTTCTTGTCTGAAATTTAGCTTTAGTTCTTCTCATTTCCATCACCTATTTTTGAATTCCTTTTCTATCTCAAGCTGTTCTTTCTCCTTTCTTTCTCATCTAGAATTTTCTAACTTCCAATCCATTGGAGCAGTCTAGAACCTAAAACAGTTTGGAAAATCATATCAGTTAATCTGCTATCTCTGCAGCTGTTGCTTTTAGAACTGTTTTTATTTGTTCATTGGTTGTGGGCGTCACTGACTTGACAAGCATTCTTGCCAATCTTAATTAACTGTTGAGCGTCATCCTCATTTCCCTAGGTCTTTTTCTCACATGTCTAAGGCTGGATGCTGCATAAGAACCCTAGCAATTTAAGGGCATGATGTTCTGAGGCTGGGAATGGTAGAGAGAAAGAGCTTTATATGTTGTCAGCACATGAGGTTTTCAACATGTTCTCTGAAGAGCTTCTACTTTAGGGAAAATAGAAAATTTTAATTAATAAAATTATGGAAACAGGCAGATTTCAAGTGTATAATTTTGGAGGAGGAAAACTGGCATTTTCTTCCTTGGTGAAAAGAATTTCACTGTGCTGGGCTGAGGTTTTAGGATAAGAAATTTGCTTTCGTTATGTTCAGTGCAATCTGTGTGGATTTCAGATTTGAAGGCCCCAGTGACTGATGAATCTTAGGCAATTGTGTGTGAAGATTTCTTAAACAAGTACTCAATATAATGCTGCAAGTTTAGCTTTTGTTTTGGGAGAGTACCCTTAGGATGAGACTAAATAGCCTAAAACAGTTGCTAGAAGTGACTTCATATTGCAACTGTTTCCAATAAAGGTAACAAATAATTTTTTAAAAAGCTTTATGAAATAGTAAGTAATATGGTTTGAGCACTTACTTATTTTACTTGTGTTTCAGCTGACATATGTACTACTGGACTTAGTACTACAGGAGTTATTTCCTGAACTCAGTAAGGTAAGTGCAGAGCTGGGCACACCTAATTTATTGGAGCAATATAGGCCTGAGAGTTTTGAGTAAACTATTCCCTGATCTGTACTATTTGAATCTTGAGAGTATATAAACCATTTTGTTGGTTTAGAATGCTTATAGAAGTTTTAATAGAACATTTTTAAGTTGAGAGGTATGATGGCGATCAATAAAGGATTGTTTCAAATTGAAAACAATTAGCAAAGAAATTTGATTCAGAGATAATGGGAACTGCCGATGCTGGAGAATCTGAGATAACAAGGTGTAGAGCTGGATGAACACAGCAAGCCAAGCAGCGTCAGAGGAGCAGGAAAGCTGATGTTTCGGGTCTGGACCCTTCTTCAGAAAAAGAAATGGCTAAACTTCTGTTTCATCTTGCATATCTGAACTCTCCCTCTCTCTGAAGGTTTCTCTCTCTCTCTCTCCCTCCCCTGTGTCTGACCACAATAAATTGCACAAGATCTATGTCACAAAATAGTGGATCTCTTGTGTCATTGCTCAAGGTAAGCCTTGGATGCATTGCCTGACTGAATCTGTCTGTTTTCAGCTTTTATGTTGGAGATTGTGTCACACTCTCTTCATTTTATTATTTTTATTTATATACTCTAGAATGTATAACTGTTGTCACTTACTTCCCTTCTCCTACCATTCCATCATATACTGTCTGCTGTTTCTTTGTCATTTGTAACATGAATTTGCATATATTATTGTAGGAATCTAGCTATCACTGATTAATGTGATTTACCTGCCAAGTTTATCTGAATCAAAACAAGACTGCTGAATGCAAACTGAATGTTCAACATGATTCTTCTCTAAATTTCCTGAGTAGCTTGGGGCACAATTGGAAGGAACCACGTTAAGACTCAAGGACTCCACAAAAATATGTATAGGTTGAATCTCACAACACTGTCACTTTGTATGTGCAGATCAAACATTAGCAAAAACCAAAGAGTTGGAATCATTTTAACTTTCATTTGGGGAACTCCAGCAGTGATCAAGGCCCAAAGTACACAACTGCTTTTTGTTGAAAAGCAAATGACATAAATCATAATCAAGATTGAGTGATACCAAATTAGGGTTTAACAACTTGAAGATCATAATCAGAGGAGAAAAGTGGGGAAGACGAGGGTTTCCTCAGTTGAGCTTCGGAGAAAAAAATACATAAAAGTCAGACTCTGAGGAGTTCTTTCTCAACACAGTAGGATGCAGAAGGTATTAGATCTTTAACGTAGGGAATTATGAACAATATCTGAGTTAGACTATTTGGAGTAGTTATTTCAAAAAATGTTTTTGTTTTGGAAATGAGGTGAAGGGGATTGCATTGTAAAAGTCAATATGACCTTGTCTCCTACTTGTAACTCCAAGAAAAAATGTCTTGAGAAACTCATCTGCTGTGGGAGCAGTATTTAAAGACTTGCTAGATTTAGGTTTTGTAGAGAGAAATGCAGTTTCTTTGAAGAGATGAGGGATTTTCATTTGTAGTCAGTTGAGAAAAAAGTCAGTGATACTAATTCAAGAACTTTCAACACAGCAATCTGGGCAATTAGGGATGGGCAATAAATGCTGCCTGGCCAGTGATGCCCTCATTCCATAAATGAATAAAGAAAAAAAAAATTCCAACTTTGCTGTTACATGGTTTAATTAACTTGTTGGATAATTAAATTTTACAGCAAGGAAGATGTCAGTCATCAGGCATAGTCTGGACACCTAACTCAAATAAATGGAATTGTTGAAACAAGTTTGAGTTATTTATGTGAAAATAATTAGATGATGGACACCCAAAATGCTTTGAAGATCCTGCCATGTCGAATCCTCTTGACTTTTTTTGAGGAAATGGCAGGCTAAGTTGATGTCAAAGTTCCATTATGAAGTTTACCTTGATTTCCAATCCTGGGTAGAGTACAGTGTCAAAGTCTGCACAAGTTTAAATAAAACCTGATGTTTGATAAGGAATTTGCTGGAAAAAAAAGGATGTGATTGGTGTTAATTTAGGAAATGGTGTCTGGCTAGGTGGAATTATACAAGGATTTGTATGAGGGTTCCTTCAAACTTAATTTAGAAAGCAATATATGTTGGTTAAATTCACAGGTACTTGGAGTGCAGGGGATCCACCTATGAAGCAACCGCGAAAGGGTCTGCACCTGCATTGAATTCCATTTGGCACAGTTAAGCTGTTAAACATTGAAAGAAAAAAATACCAGAAGAATGGAGTTAGATTGGGAAGAGAACATTGTACATGCTTTGCAGAACAACACTCAGCAAAGTTTAAAAAAAAATACTGGGTTATCTTGTCATATAATATAAGCCAGAGGCCAATACTAAAGTTGGATAATAGCCACCATCAGGTAACATGTTGTGGTCCAAAGAAGCACCAGACCTGAGAAGTGGTGCAGCATGTAACGTGCAAAATGTAACTAAGATGATGTCATGATTCAGTTATAGGGAAAGGTCAACAATACTGAAGCTTTTCAGCTTTGGAAGTCTTAAATAAGAGTGTCCTTGAGGTTACACAAAATACTAAGTTGAGGTAAATCTAGCACCACGTTTACGCAATGCCTGAAGACTCAATTTATAGTAATAAATGGAAGCATGCAAGAAATTGATGTTGTGGATGATGTTTGGGAATAATTCTTGTACAAGTTGCGAATTCCAGATTGATGGTGGAGGTACTATTTGCAACCATTCAAAAGGCAACAAGATACTGGGATGTTAGTAGATTCTAAGCAATAAGGAGCTAAATAGGCTCAACAGCCTCCTTCATCTTTGCTTCTCTTTGTGACCAGGGATTGAGTCATCAGATGTGAGAAGTGGTAGCTGTTGTTTAGATCTGATGGAAAGCCAAAAAATAAAATCCCTTGTAGACTTACATTTGGAATTCTAATTACACCATTTGAAAATTATGGAGGATATTAGAATGAAATAATTCAGTCACTAAATTAATTAGTGTGAAGGTTATTTAAGAGCTTGTGATTTGATGGCCGTTGATGAATGTGGAGTAAATTTGTCAACAGTGGGATATTAAGAATTGGAAGATGATGAGTGGAAATGATCAAATGGGAGAAAAGATATCTTTTGAAATATTGATGATTATTTAATTTTAGAATGGCTGTTTCTTGTTAATTCCACGTTGGTTTCAAGAGTCTTGGCCAACTTACCTGATCAGGTGACCGCTGTGGCAATCTTAAGTCAATATTCTTCATCTCTTTTCAAAAACTATTTCAATCCATGAAAGTCCCAAGTATTAGGTTGTATAATGAACTTTGAAAATCAATAGTCTATTTTCTGAAACTAGGGGTGACTATTTCAAAATAAGGAGTTGTCTATTTTCTAGTGAGCTGAAGAGAACTTAGCTCTAAAAGTCAAGTCTTTGGAACTCTCTTCCTCAAAAGGTGGTGGAAGCAGAGTTCTTGAATGTTTTAATGTAAAGGTAGGTAGATTCTAGATGAGCAAAGAAGTGAAAGGTTATCGTGGAGTAATCTGATCAGCTATTACCTTATTGAATGGTGCAACAGGCTTGAGGGCCAAGTGACCTATTCCTGCTCCTTGGTATGTTTATATGCTTGCATAATGGGGGAATATTTAGTGACTGGAATATTTCTGCACTTCAATCCAATACCAAGAGTTCTGAAGCCAGGCACAATGTAACACATGTACACACTAAGGCTTTGTGTAATGCATCTTATACTGTGTTTTAAAAAGCAGCCACAATATAGGATGACAGATTACAACGGCTACTATTTGGTCTTTGAGTTGACAATTTATTGTCCAGTGTGTGTTTTACTTTCGGGATTTTATTAAGAGGATAAAGGAGATACAGTTACAACGTTTAAAAGACATTTGGACAGGTATATGATAGGAAAGGTTTAGAGGGATATGGGCCAAACACTGGCAAATTGGACTAGTTTTGTTTGGGAAACTTGGTCAGCATGGACGAGTTGAACCAAAGGGTTTCTGTGCTGTATGACTCTATGGCTGAAATAATAAGAAAGAAAACTGAAAACACCTATGCTTTAAATATACTTGTGACCTGTGTCTGTTTCGAAGAATATTTGTCTAAATGGTTTTTATGTATTACAGGTGCAGAAAGAGGTGGCGTCTGTTTCCATGTGGAAGTGAAGAATACTGCTACCAATTTTCCATTTTGAGATCCTCTTATTTTTTAGGAGCTGGAGTGCAATAGAACCATGCTGTATCTATGTGGCAGAATTATGTGTATGAAATACTGAATGGTTTTTAGTGAAACTTGTATAAGTAAATGTGAATATTAATTTTATGAAATTCATGTGAATGTGAACATTTAATTTAAACCTACGTGTGTTACACTATGCCAATAAAGGATATTGTATCATTGTGTTGTGGAAACCCAGATGATCCAGTGACTTTATTTACAGTTGGATGGAGCATTAGGCCTAATGTGCTAACTCAGCAAAAGTTATGCATTGTTCTGTAATCTGATCTAGTCAGAGATTGTGTAGGCAAAATGCTAATTCATGATGCACAGAGAATGTAGTAGGTCTATGACAGTACTGTATTTGAATTTACTAAAGCATCAGAGCTGAGAATTCTGTGCACTATACACACCTCGATGCTTTTCCAATCTTTGGATAAAAGTGAAAACTAACTTTTAAACAAAAACAAAGTTGCTGGAAAAGCGCAGCAGGTCTGGCAGCATCTGTGGAGGAGAAAACAGAGTTAACGTTTCGGGTCCAGTGACCCTTCCTCAGAACTCAAGATGACTTAAGATTAATTCAGTATATCTGGTCGGCATGGACGAGTTGGAATGAAAGGTCTGTTTTTGTGCTGTACATCTCTGTGACTCTATGAATTTCAGCTTAGTTAAAAACATGAAAACCTGATTAAAAATGAAAACAATAGATTAAAATCTCATTACAAACACTGAGATTTTTTTGAATTGCAAAGATTAAGCATAGAAGGGCAGAAAATGTTCTTTCTTAACTACCATTTGTGTTGAAGAGAGGGAACTTCCCACCACTCAGATAGATTAAGAGGCCAGGGCACAAGGAGGCAGTATTAGCATAGAAAAATGCTGGATAGAGGTTTGTTTAAAAGTGATGGAGAGAAATAATGAAGAAATGTAACTGCATTAGTAATTCTGAGGCCAGGATTAATGATCTGAGGACATGAGTTCAGCCCCACCACAAGAATTAAGGAATTTAAACTGAATAAACAAATCTTGACTAAAAGCACATAATAGTGACCTCGAAATTGTTGGATAGTTGTTTAAAAAGAACAAATAGAAGTATGGGACAGGAACAGGCCATTTGGCCCTCCAAGCCTGTGCCAATCATCATGCCTTGACTAAACTAAAAAATAAACCTTCTGCCCTTATTCAATCCAAACCCCTCTATTCCCTCCCTATTCATGTAACCATCCAGACACCTCTTAAA